CTTTCTACATATAAGATAATAAAAAATAATCCCACACAGAAAAAATAATTATTTTCTTTTCTTTAATTTGATAAAGTCATTTATGGAAAAAAAAAAAAAGCATATCTTAGGGAGCTAACACAAAAGAACATGACATTGCCACGGTGGTGGGGCAGGTAGCGGTTGGCGGTTGACTTGGTTGATGGGGAGGGGGAGGGGGAGGTGCCGCATTTTTTTCGGACGGATACGTTTGTGTATCCGGTGTGGATTGCGCCGGGGACGACGCTGACCTTTGCGGTGGATGGGAGGGAGGAGACGTTGACTTCGGAGGGTCATACGTGGAGGCATTCGCTGTGGTTTATGGGTGGGACGATCGTCACGGCTACACCGAGGTGCGAAACCAATGAAAGGCGTGGTCGCGTCGCCGCCGTGCTGGTGATGGGGCAATGCGAAGCGCGGCTTTTGCCAAACGTTGCGTTGGAAGACAACACCATTGGAGCTTATCGCCAGAATCTGTCGGATGCGCAAATACGGAAAAAGGATGACGGGGAGGAACCAGATCCAAACGCTCCTCAGTCGTGGCCGGAGGCGGATCATCTGGCGAGGGCGATATTTCTCAAAGCGGGCGACGTGGTCGACCGATGCGCCTTCGATGAAGAGTTTGCCGTGGGCGATGAGGGGTTTGAGAAGCCGGATGGCCAACCCGCAGATGCGATCACTCCAGATGAGCAGCCAGCCGATTCTCCTTTGTATTCACCACTCCCTGGTGGTCTTAACATCCGAATCTTGGTCCTCGAACCAGCCGCGGCGGAGGAAGACGAGCTCCAGACCCGACTGGAGGTGGTTTCGCTCGACGACAAGCCCAGTTTCGAAGCGATCTCCTACACCTGGGGCGACCCGTCGGACATGACGTTGCTCAGCTGCAACGGGTCCAAAGTCAAGATCCCGCGGAACCTCGAGAATGCCCTCAGGAGATTGCGTTACACAGACCGGCCTCGCTATGTGTGGGCCGATTCCGTGTGCATCAACCAGCAGGATATCCCCGAGCGTGGCCAGCAGGTGTCCATCATGCGCAACATCTACCTCAGCTCCGAGCGGGTGCTCGTCTGGATAGGACTAGACGAGCACAACGAAGCCAGCACCGCGTTTGCTGCCGTGTGCGACATTGTTCGGGCCTGGCGCCCTGAGGGAGACAGGCTCGGGTTTGCCGGCTACGCCAGTCTTTTGGAGCCCATGGACGACGACGCGCTTGCTTCCATCCGGATCACCGTGGATCAAAAGGCATGGGCGGCTCTCCGGACCTTGTTCGAGAAGAACTACTTTCGGCGGTTCTGGATCATCCAAGAACTGGCGCTTGGCAGCTCGGCTGTCGTCTACTGGGGCCAGCACCGCATCTCCTGGGGTCTGATCGGAATCTGCGCCGCATGGATGATGAGCAGCGGGTGGAACTTCAGCCGTGGTGAGCCCATCACGGCCGCCTACAACGCCTTCCTAATCTACGTGCTGCCGCTCGCCAAGCGCAGCGGGATCTCGGCCTTCTCCAAGCTCGACTTATCCGTCGTGCTGGGCACCACCATGGGCCGCTTTGACGCAACCGACCAGCGGGACCGCATCTACGCGCTCCTGGGCATGCCGTTCGCGGGCAACAACCCAGACGCCGAACTGCTTATCAAACCCGACTACAACCAAGACCTCCGCTCAGTCTACATCCAAGCCGCGCAACGCATCCTTGAGCAGGACAAGCACCTGCGGATCCTCAGCGCCGTCCAGCACGGCGACGAGCTCGACACGACCTATCCCTCGTGGGTACCCAAGTGGCACAAACCACTCCCCGCGGAACCACTTGGCCTGCGCGACGAACAAGGGTACTACGCCAACGGCGGCGAGCTATTCTGCCCAACCCCCACCACCTTCACCCACAGCACCACCACCACCACCACCACCACCCCACACCACTCCCTAACCCTCCCCGGCCTCCTCTGCGGCACGCTCACCTCGACCAGCGCCCCCCTCCAAAAAGGCTCTCTCCACCTCGGCGCGCTGCCCCCCGGCCCGCACCGCACCGCGCTCACCACGCTCTTCGCCTCGCTCAACTCGGAACAAGCTCAGCTCCGCGCTTCCTGGAGCGCGACCCTCGAAAAATTCACCCTCTTCGGCTTCACCGACCCGTCCCTGCAAGCGACGCACCTCGCCAGCCCCGCCACCTCCAAGGCCATGGCCGTGGCCGTGACCGGCCACCCGGGCAAGTACGGCATGCGCGCGGCGGCCGAGGCGCTGGACGGCGAGCGCGCGCAGACGGATCATCTGGGCGAGTATTTGCTGTATTGGCGGGAGAGAGCCAGGTGGAGGGGGGAGTAGTTCAGGCATGGGGAGATGGGCTTGTTTTGGAGGGTGTTGGAGGACCAGGGGTCGGTGTATATGCGGGAGAGGCGCTCGAGTATCGTCATAGCTGTTTTCCTGAAAGCAGGGTGTTTTTGATGGGGGGTGGGGAGGGTGGTGGTGAAGGGGGTGAGGGGAGGGAGGGGTTGGGACCGGCGGCAGCGAGGGAGGGGGATGTGGTGGCTGTGTTGTTTGGCGGGGTGGTGCCGTTTGTGTTGAGGCCGTGTGAGGGGGAGGATGGGGTGAGGTTTTGGAGGTTGGTGGGGGAGTGTTTTGTGCCCGGGTTGATGCAGGGTGAGGCGGTGGAAAAGGCTGGTTTGCTTGCGGAGGGGAAGTTTGAACGGGATGGGGCTGGCGCGCTGAGGCTCACGCCGACGCCGCAGGGTGAGGAGGACCCGCGGTTGACGAGGAAGGTGGGGGAGCACGGTGTTGTTGCCTTTGAGATTCGTTGAGACACCTAGGGTACCTACCTTACCTATCTAGGTAAATTCCATTCTTGAGACTCCCCCATCGTCACTTTCCGCCCTCGTTCCTGACTCCGTCGGCTTTCGGTGATACTCGGAGGCCGGCCGGGGCTAAGCGGGCCTAGTTGTCGGCGCAACATCGGATCGGGTCAGGCCCGGGGTCAGCAGCGGGGCTCCGTTCTTCGCTCTTGGGCGCGGGGGCGCAATTCACACCTGAGCAATCCTCCTCCTTGAATCGACCTCAATTGACTGGACGGTGAAAGGAAAGGAACAATGCCCCGTCTGACGTCTGGAGTACGACAATAATAAAAGCTCGTGTCATGGTGGAGATTCGTTTCGTATGCTTTGGGAGGATCAGCCGCAGCGCAACCCTTTGAGGTTAGTCAATCAATGTTTGCTTCCATTCCTGGATACGCGAGGAAAGCTGGCTTCTGCCATGCACCTCTCTGCGGTGACGCAGCTACCCTAGCGAGAGTTCTGCACTGGAAAGAGATTGACGGGTAGTCATGTGACCACGCGTCTCTGAGTCGGTCGATGGATTGAATGCCCTGGTACCTCAGGCCGAAGTGACTCACGTCATTCAACAGGACAGTCACAGAGCTGGGAAAACGGGTATATTTTCAAGGCCACCGCTACTTGGGAGGACCGGAGCCTCAGGTCTCCTTCTCTTTTCTTCTTGTATATCTTTCTTCTGGTCATCTTATTGGCCCATCATCCCTTCCCTTTCCAGTTCCAGCCTTACATGACTCGGCCTCCGTCTTCGGGCACGGCACAGGACGGGAAGCCAAAAGTGCAATACTGTTGCCGCTGAAAACCGTGGCGACCCGATATCAATCAGTCGCTTGTTGAGTCTAGGTGCAACTGAACTCGAGACAACAAGTTCATGCCTTCCGACCTCGGCTGGCATCACCAATTGGCATACTCCAAGACTCCATCTAGACAAGACGATATAACTCGCGTTTTAGTTCAGCAACACTAGACAAAAAAACAGTAACCATGGACGCCAGCTGCCAATGCGGAGCTGTTAGCTTCAAGACGCCGACCGAGAAGCCCCTGGCATTGTACATATGCCACTGCCACGACTGCCAGCGCCAGGCGAGCTCGGCCTTTGGCGCGTCGGCCATCTTCCCCAGGTTCCAATTGCCGGACGCCGAGCTGCTGAGCTGCTACAAGTGAGTCTGCCGCAATTTCCGTCGATACGAAGGGGTTCTAACTGGGTTACCTTGGTAGGCGAGCGACTTCCACGGGACAGACCATGTTCTGGTAAGTAAGAGCAGAAAGGAAAGGAGGGAAACCATGGGATAGGACAAAGCTCTGACGCAGTTGACGCACAGTTACTTTTGCAAGCAATGCGGGACTCGTTTGCTTCACACAACGCCTGTAAGTGCAAAAGGCCACATCGAAATCGTCCTCGCCCAACACGTATTGACCTTGGTTCCGTCTCCAAAGGGCAAGAACGTCGTCGCCGTTAAGGGCGGCTGCATTGAAGGCTTAGACTGGAAGACAGCCATCCATATCTGGTAAGCCACCGTTTTTGTTCTCTATTACCCCGAACCCCTTGGCTCCTGTTCGGTCAATTGACTCCGTCTCTTCTACAGGACCAAGTCAGCCATGGTCCCCATTCCAGAGGGGTCTGAGACGTACTCGGAGGAATCGGACCTCGCCGAGTACAGCGACGGGAGCCCGGGGTCACTTGACAAACCGATTGGGCTCGCTGGTTAGGCATCGGAGAACCGCACCCCCAGCTCTCCTGTTGGCGCAGGCCTTGCCGTGTTTGTTGGATGGGTTCAAATTAAGGTGATATATAAAAGTACAGCATGTGTGGGTGAGTGACCAAGGCGTAAAAACGGGGTGTTTGTATATCCAGGTGTTCTCGAGGCCAGTCGGCCTGGTGTGAGTGTTTAATCATTTCTTGTGTTAGTAATCTGAGATGCGTCAAGCTGCTATTCTCGTGGATTCAGGGGTCTTGACTCCTCGTCTTGCAGGGAGATAAATGATTCGCAACTCGCGACCAAAACTTTAGGCGTTGCACGACTGCATTCGCTAACGCAGCCAAGTGCGCAAACAGGAACTGGCCGCGTCATGACCCAGACTTGGGCAATTCCTCCGTCGATCTAGATGTTATATCACATGTCGATATCAAGACGGCGTGCGTAGAGCACAACAAGATCTTCGAGGCTGACTCACCGTGCTCCCCAGAAATCCGAATATCTTCTCGTTCCTGTTCCCTCAACGAAACCCTGTCCTCCCCGACAACGTTGCAGAAACAACCAGCCGGCTCCCTCGCCTTCGCATCACCCACCGCACTAAACCTGGCCCTTTACTGTTCCCACAACAACTGATTCAGGCATTCATTGATTGTTCAAAGGGTGCGATTTCTTGTCCTCGTGGCCACTAGGTACGGAGGCTTGGCCTTTCGGAGCAGATAGGGGGTTGTTGAGGGCAAGACTTTTATGTAGTGTATGTATGTACCTCCTTAGTATGTCATCATCACCCAATGCTTCAGGGGGAGTTCACCCAGATCGGATACTCGTATGGTGAGGTAAGGGGTTAGTGATCTCGGCGTCCCATTCCCTAAAAAAAAAAAAAAAAAAAAAAAAAAAAAAAAAAAAAAAAAAAAAAAAAAAAGAAGAAGAAAAAAAAAAAGAAAAAAGAATTGAAGCTTCGCCAATGACTGTTATTCAATCGACACGGGCATCAACGGACCTCCCGATGATGGTCTCGCGAGGGTACCCAGTCTTCGGGCAATCCAGCCTGGCCGCATGTGAGGGCCTGGACCTGGTCGGGTCTCAGAAGGCGCCCGCGCAACCGCTGTGGGGTCTGGGGACCCCTGGACCCACGAAGTTCCTCAGCTTCGAAAATCCCGATTGGATTGTACGGATCCCTTTTTCGTCATCCATCAACCCAATCCAACTTCACACTGCGAAGTACATATTCTACGCAAGTGCATCATTTATTCGTTTAATAATAAGGGCGTTGCTTTTATAGTTTTGTTTTGTTTGGTTCAGGATAATTGTGAACACTTGCCTCATCATGCGCAGGGGTAACCAAGACGGCGCGTGCTGCGACGCTGTTTTTAACTGTCACCACGCCATGGATGCGCCATGGACAGCATAATCTCGACAGGGCGATGGTTCCATTGACAAGCCTCATCAGCTCCTCTGCAACTCTGAGTCGTCGCGGGGCCGTGATGGTTTTGTTGTAGCTGGGTCCCCCTGCGCCGCTCACGCAATGGCCTGTTTCGCTTGGGCCGACCTCTGACACAAGCCGTCTGGGGTCCGTCTCATGCCCCTTTGCGGCGTGGGACACCTTTGCCGCAGCCCGCCCACGAGGTGTCAACGTCCCAAGTCCAGACAGGGATCTCGCGAGCATTGAGCCTCATCGGCCCAGAACCCACTTGTCGAGACCCCCATGAGACTACCTTTCAGACAAGGTTGCCTTCCAAAGAAGATGGGCGTCTAGAACTTCTTGGGTTCCTTCTGTCCCCTGCCCCGGCGCGATGGCGAAGGAAGACGTACGTGGATGGGGCCTGTTCGAAACACCCTCGCCAAGGTCTCCCTTTGCCTGTCTGTTTCGACTGCCGGTTTCTACCTTAGGTTTTCTTCTTCGCCCCAATTCGTCTTCCCTCCCAAACCGTTGTGCTTTCACTGTTTGTTGCGCTTTGTTTTTTCGCCTCAACCACACACTCTTTGCCAGGCGTGCCCTTCCCTTCTTCTCCTTGGCGGTCATCGACACATCGATACCCCAAGTTATTTATTTATATACAGCAGTGCTGCTTTGTCTATCACCTCCACCTTTGACGCCACCGAAAGCTGGCCTCGATTCAGGAACGCCCGTCATTTTCTTGATCTCATCATCGGACTACCACTGCTCGCCCCAAAAAACGACGACTAGGTCCGCTTGTATGTCGAGGGATCGCCCGGGCTGATTGTACGTCTTCTGTTACGACTGGTCTCAGGTCCAATCGATTTCCAGCTCGAGATCATCGCGAGAGTGCCGAACGGAGGACGGCACGAGAATCGTCTCGTTGTGGGGCGCAAGTCAGAATGAGGCTCCGTGTTCACGCACTCGCAATCATTCTGGGCTCCGTATCATTCGCCCAGGTAAGGAATGCTTTCGGCGTAAATAACCAAGTCATTTACTTACAACTCCGTAGGCCGCTGCGTACAACCGGCGTCAGGATGCCCCCGCCAACACCGTGAATCTTGCCGATGGCTTCATGAGCATGTTAAACCGCCTGGGAGCTGGCGCCCAGACGGTCACGGAAACGGTACAGCAAACTATCACCGTCGGGGGAGGTGGAGGCGCGGGCCAGGTGGCAAATGCGACGGCGGTTACCGTGACCGTCACGGCCGCTGCCTCCACTGTCACTGTCTGCCCGGGTCTGGCCAACGGCGCGGTGGACGGTGGTGCGGGTGGTGGGTCGGCATCAGCGGCACCCGCGGGGGGTGCGGGTTCGGGAGCGGCACCTCCAGTGGTGGTAGCCACGGGGGGCATTGGTGTCACGGTGATTCCGGTCCCGGAAGACGCCCGCAAGACCAGCGAAGTTGGGAACCCACCCGCAGCCACGCCGCCAGCTAATCCGCCCGCCAACCCGCCGGCGAATCCCCCGGCCGCTGCGCCTTCTGATCCACCGGCCGCCGCGTCTTCTGATCCCGCGGGCACGAGTTCATCTCTCACGCCACTACCGAGCCAAGGAGGAGCGAACCAACCTGGACTCGTTCCACCGCCGGGGCTTTCCGACTCGACATCCTCAACTTCACTCGCACCTCTGCCGTCTTCCCAGGCCCCCCCAGCCGCCGCCAACCCAACCGCCGTACCTATCGTCGGCGCACCCGTATCCGATAGTTCAGCCGTCGGCGACTCAGTCACGTCGTCGTCGTTGGCCGCCCCACCGGTCCTCGCCAGCTCGCTGACCAACACGCTCGTCCTCCCCAGCACCGTCAACGCCCCGGTCGCCACGCCCGCCTCAAACCCCGCGGGCGCCTTTGGCGGCGTGGCGGGCCTGATCCCGATCGAGTCGGCCATGACGCCCACCCCGACTACCCCGGGAGTTGCGAACGGCGCCGGCGCGGGGCCCACCATCAACGTCTCGGGCTTGACGCTGTCGAGCCAGCTGAATCTCGGGAACCTGGTGCAGCAGACGGTGGCGCCGATTACGTAGGCTCTCGAGAGTCTGTGGGGATAAAAAAGATGGATGGAGCGTGCGGACTATACCCTTTACTGTTTTTGTTTTCTGGTTAGATACCAAATGGCTGTGTTGTGGCGATGGTGCCGTTGTACGTGATGTTTTGTTCGGCGAGACGGTCGGGCTTTTCTTGGTTAATGTATATAGCGTGCGTTGGCTATGCCGCCGTACACCGGTGGAGCCGGTGCCTTTGATTTCTGAACAGCAATGGAGAACAAACAAGAGCAAGTCTCTTGTGGTTTGAAGCCCCGAATTTTGCCCACCGTCCCATGTCTATAAGGGGTATCGTAATCCCAGCCAGCCCGTCGATATGGTACACGAGAAGAAGAAAGTCGGCGATCTAGGTATTATTAGGCCTTTGCTTGCGAAGCCTCCTTCTTCATCTTTTTCGCCTGCCTCTTGCTCATTTCCCCCGTCTGGCCGCCGCCGCCACCACCATTCTTCCTCTTCTGGCCCTGTTGACCCTGCTGCTGCTGCTGCTTCTGCTTCTTCCCACCCTTTACCCCATTTCCCCCCTCCCCCTCCCCCTCGCCATCCCCATCTCCCTTCCTCACCTCCTCCCCACCCTCCGCAGGCTTCACAATATCCACCACCCCCCGAAACCCGCGCCTCTTAATCCCCTCATTCACCACCACCGCCCTCGCCCCCTCCCCCAGCGCCGCAAACCCCTTCTCCGGGCTCAACCCCCACACCGCCATCAGATTCACCACATCCGCCGGCCCTCTCAGTCCCAACACCCCCCTCGCCTCACTACTGACCACCACCCTCCTCCACAGACATGAGCTAAAGAGCTGATGCACTCCCCCAATAAAAT